ACCAGAAAGTGCTGTAATATGTAAAGCTTGATCTCAGAAACAGGACTTACATCATGGGTTTTCTTTCTTCTGCTGCCTTCAAGGTTGTACCCCTGGATTCAAATCTGGGAGATGTTCCCGTTATTAATCACAAACCATCCAAACTGCCGTTGTTCAAAAAGCAGTACGAAAATAAGGTATATATAGGTAAGAGCTTCTAATCATGAAATGTACAACTTTTTTCAGTTGATGGGAAAAGAAAAATTTAGGTGGGTTTTGTTTGGGTATTGGTTTTTGTTGTTGGATTTTTTTTACTAAAAAAAAAAAAGTTAACATTTCATGATTAGAAGCTCTTACCTATATATACCTTATTTTCGTACTGCTTTTTGAACAACGGCAGTTTGGATGGTTTGTGATTAATAACGGGAACATCTCCCAGATTTGAATCCAGGGGTACAACCTTGAAGGCAGCAGAAGAAAGAAAACCCATGATGTAAGTCCTGTTTCTGAGATCAAGCTTTACATATTACAGCACTTTCTGGTCAGACAACAGAAAGTGCAAATCTTGCTTACATACACCATATAGATAACCTCAACTGAAATTCATTTTTTGCAACAGAACCTTTTGCCTTGTGATGGGTGCTAGCACAGTCATCCTACACTGAAGTCTTATTTTTCTGCAACATACGAAATCAATGTGAGAAATGATGCTACCAAAGTTGCCAATTGGTACTATCTTCAAAATCAGAATCTGCTTCTGTGGAAAAACAGCTAAAACATTTCTAGCAGTAGCTAAAAAACTAACTTGAACTGGCAGAGTGAGTTTACAGATTCGGTGTTCTGCATTGTACATTTTTAATTGCCTAGACAGTTCTTCCAAAATGCCAAGTTTTGTAGCATCTGACAGTACTAACTTAAGCAAATTTTACAACTAAGTTATTAATAAAGGTTCTGCGTTTACAGAAAGCGCAGTAGTTTTTTGTTTCCGGTGTAAACAGAACAACCAGACCCAGACTGCCTACACAACTATCATTGTATGAACCTGCAAGAAAAACACTAGTATATTGAAACAAAATATACTTCCAGGAAACTGAGCATTCAAGAAAATAACTGTTAATCAGTACCAACAGGCAACAGAGCTCACATTCAGATTATAAGTGCTCTCTCTTACTCCATTCTGTTCTTCACCATTCCTAACGTACTATTCTTCTCCACTGAAAAGAGAACATTTCACAACACATTCCTTATTTGTGCCTCCACTTCGAAGCATAAAATGTTAAAAACTGAATTTAATTAAATGAACCAATGTGCAATTTAAAGTGTAAAGAGGATCAACTTAGAGTTCAGGAGACTGTCTCAATATCTACAAAGCAATTACCACAGGGTAGTAAGGGAGCTAAGACTTGAAAAACACACTAATGTGCCACATGTCTGAAAAAACAGTTATTCCACATAGTACCTGCTGCATGGTTTCAGTGGCTGCCTGAAACAAAAATGAAAATGAATGTTATTAATTTGCTGTTGGAAACACGCCCACCTGGGGAAGCTGCTTTGGCACACGGATCTGGAGGTGTGGCTTATCGTCTATCTGGAATCGCACAGGATCAACTCTACCCTTCCGATGTCCATGAGCAACAACTTCCTCACCATGATGCCAGTAATAGTTAACTTCGGGCTTTAAATCTGAAACAGAAAAGAAGAATACGGAAAAACGGTGATTGCCCCTGGGCATTTGAAACTCTCCCAATTCTTCTTTTGCTGCAGCCAAACACAACATCCCTAATCCAAATAGAATGATGGAGACAAATTACTAGTGGTGGCCTGAATATCCGATCTGAAGAGCTACACCAGCAACACTGCTGCCGGCTGGGACTGACCCCACCGCCCTAAGGCTCCCACGTCCCCTTCTGTCAGCCCCACTCCGCACCGAGGGAGGAGGTCGCCAGCAGCGGATTGTGGCCGGACAGGAACGCAGCGAGGGTGGAAACGAGCTGCGTGAGGAAGGGACCGGGCGTGTGCTCCTGGTCACGGTACAGGAACGGCCGGTTTTTGTTCTGATAGAAGCTCTCCTGCAGGAGGGCGTCGCAGGCCAGGGAGCGCAGCTCGCCCATATCCAGGGGTGGGAGCGCTCCCGCCGCGGGCTCCGGGCTTGTCGCAGTCCCCGAGGTTGTCGCAGCCCCCGAGGTTGTCGTAGTCCCCGGGCTTGTCGCAGCCGCCGGTGCTCCCGCTCCCGGGCCTCCGCCGGCCTTGGGCGCCGCTTCCGCCGCCACCGCTCCCGGGGGCAAGCCCGGCACGAAGACAGTGTTGGTGAAGCTGCGGTACCAGCGGTCGGCGTTGATAGCGAAGGTTTGCGGGTACACCATGTACTTGGGCCGCTGCAGCTTCTCGTACAGCCGCAGTTTCTCCTCCACCGTGGCCGCAGCGTGCACTCGCTGCTTGAAGTTCTCCCGGCGCCGCTGCTGGGCCGCCTTGCTCTTGGCCGTGATGGACGCCACCACGGGCGGGTAGAGCGGGCCGGAGGCTAGCGAGGGGCTGGTGGGCTCGGCCTGCGAGAACCAGCGGTGGCCGGGCCGGAGCAGCCGCCGCGCCCCCAGCGCCGCCATCTTCGGAGCTGCGGGACAGGGAAGGGCGGAGCGGGAAACCGCGACACCTGATTGTCCACTGGGAATCACGTGGCTAGCCAGTCATCCAATGGGCGAGCGGCTCCTCCTCTGGCGGTGCCGCCGGGGCAGGAAGAGACGGGGCCTTTGGTAGTCACGTGACTTGATGGTGCCCATTCCCGACGCGGTACGGCACGGCGGGGCTCATGCGCATGCGCAAAAGAGGAATCTGTGCCATCACTGCACCGGAACTACAACTCCCAGGATGCACAGCCGGGACGACCCGGAAGTGCCGTGTGGGGCCGTTGTACCGCCCAGAGAGCCGCAGAGTCAGTTCGAAATTTGGAAAAGGCCTTTTGGGAACATCGAGTCCAAGCTGTGACCGCACACCAGCTTGTCAAGGAGACCGTGGCACCCAGTGCCGCGTCCATTCTTTTCTTAGGCACTCCCAGGGACAGTGAGGCCACATCCTCTCTGGGCAGTCCATTTTAATGTCCAGTCACTCTTTCATTGAAGAAATTCTTCCTACTGTCCAACCTAAACCGCCCCTGGCACAGCTTAAGGCTATATCCTATTGCTCTGTTACCCACTGTGAAGTCTCGAAAGAGCCTTTACCTGCTTCCACTCAAGAGAAAAACACTTTGGACACAGTTTTCCAAAGGTCTGGATCTCGAGGAGCGCGTTCCAGCTGCAGGGAAGGGCCCTCTGTACAGGACAGTGGGTTCCCACAGCACTGAGTGTAAACTGAAACGACTGATTGTCAGAACCTTCTGAGCCGACAGAGTCTGGCTTTAATAAAGGAATTCAACCCTGCTAAATATGATCTGTTACAACCTTTGTGAAACTAAATAAGCTAGAATTGGCATACTGATACTGCAAGAGTGCCACAGTAACTGCATGTTCGTCTTCGAGACACTTCAGTAGCTAAGTATTTCTCTTTAGTAGGCAGATGAATTTCACTATTTATTCTTAAAACTTCTTTTTTTTTTTAACTTGATGATTTGCAGTATTCTTGGGAGATTGGTTAGTTTTTTTCCTGTATTTCCATGAAACATGACTAGGAGTGGAAGTTATGAGTGGAATTGGGACAGGAGTTACATTACATGCATCCCAGATAATCTGCCTTCTTTCCTTAACTTCATTTTAACTTTCTGCTGAATTGCTGATCACTTCTTCAGTGGTGGAATTTTTGGAATTTGGAGGAAATTTTGGAATACATGATGAAGATGTAAACACAGAGTTTGGATTGAGATTTTCAAAGAATATAGAATATAAAACCGTCATCTTCTTTAAGAGGAAGAAAAATAGAAACTAAAGTATTGTTAATGCATAGCTAAAGAAAAGCTATCCTTTAGCTTAAGATTTACAAAGTATGTTATAAAAGACAGATTTAAATGTTAAATTGCAACTCAGTTAAGTATCGAGTATTTAAAATTTTGATGTTTTAAATTTGAAACTAGCCTTTCTTTACTAGATGGGTAAAGGGAAAAGGCCTTAGATCAGATGATTGACCATTTAGGAAGCAACCACCCTCCTTTTCTTAATTCCACATACTGCAGTCTCCAAGTGCATATGCATGTGCCTGTTTTTCTCTTGATTGATAAAGGACACTGACCAGAT